ATGGGGTTTGGGCGGGGGGGTGGTAGAGAGCCACGACGAGCATGTATCAAGTCCTGGCTAATTAGCCTGTGGCATTTTCTTTTATATAATTATTAACACTGAATAGACAACAAACGCCAAGTGCAGTGAGCTTGGCGAACCAAAGGGACTGAGGCGGCCGAGGCAGTGCTTTTCCTCGGCCCGAAGACCGAAAGCTGCTACAACTCGTTTATTTTGTTTATTTAATCAGCAACGGAAGAGGTCGTGTGCTTCTTCTGCGGTGGGTGCGGGGGGGGTGCGTCATGCCCGGTCTTGCTCTATACACTCACTTCACTGTACAGTGTTGCTTAGAACGTGCTCTTAGTTCCACTGGAGACTCTACAAGCTTGCGTCTAAACATGAAATGAAAGGCGGCCAATTACAGTTGCTGTCTCAGGCCCTCAGCAGCCCATAGGGCTGGGGGGGGCGGGCGTGGCTGGTGTGTTGTAGCGGACGCGAATTTGGGTAGGAAGCGCTGATGTTCGTTTGAAATGAGTTTAATTCAAGAACAATTTAATTCGGTAGTTCCATCACGCACAAAGCCGCCTCGTTCTTGAGGTGTACGTACGCAGGGCAGTTGAACCAACGGTGGGCAGTGTCGGCGATGCTGCAACAACTGGAGGGAAACCTGCAGGAATAAGGCTATTTTTGAAGGGAAAAACATGAAAATTAGTTTTAAACAAGAAATAAACATAAGAGAATACTATTTCCCTTAAAAACGGAGAAATTTATTCATGAAACCTCTCCGGTCTGGATCCATAAACACCCGGTCGTCTTGGTGGTCTGGGCTGCCGTGAGAGCATGTGTGCCACTGCATAGGCGTAGGCGGCCTCCATCATCAACGATCGTTAAATGTTTCAACAGTACTTTGAATTTATTTTTAATTTTGTTTTTAATTCATCGGAGTTTGTCCTTTAGAGAAGAAAACCCTCCACAACTTATCGGCCTCATGGCCACAACCCCCGGCCCTCCAGGCGCCTCATGCTCTTTCCTGATCCTCTGCAAATACCTCTTTTCCGACTTTTCTCTTAGCATTTCAAAGAAGAAATAAAGAAAACAAATTGAAATAACAGCTATGGGTTCGTAGAAACTGTCAGAGTTCACCTCGATTGCCCCCCGTTACTAACAACCATTCGGCAGCAGAGCGACTTCATCAAGCCACATTCACGAATAGGGAAGGTAGCAGCTGTTTAAACATTTGTTCTGATACTGCTGCACCGGCTGCGGTGTCTACGCAGTCATGGGGAGCAGATCCCGCGGCGGTGCCTTCAACCCAGCCAACTCATTCACTCTCTGCTGCAGCAGCTGCAGCGAAATGAATAGCAGCTCCAGAAACAACTGCCGCCGCCCTCAGCAACAGACAACGGCGGGGGCAGTCTTGTAGCGCCTTTTCACGGCAGCAGCAGCAGCAGTTGGTATTTATGTTAGCGCAGGTTTCCTTATATATGTAAGCTTTCTGAAGAGATCTCGTTTCATATAGTTGTTAACACTTGAGGTGTTGTATTGGAGGCGGTGGCTGTTAGATTCGTTATCTGTCGAGGTTATTTTCTTTATTTTCTTTTTTTTTTTTTCTGTTTGCTGCTGAGCAAAGATGTACACCCAACAGGAGCGCATGCAGGATATGGTGGAGCCAGGCCAGGAGGATGGTAGTTTGTCTCCTCCTCCTGTGATAGGATCTGAGGAGTTGCTGCTGTGGGTGTCAGATGTATTGGGAGAGATAGATGAAGACGTAGACTTCTCCTCTTTACGTTTCGGCCATATATTTCTGCATTTGTTTCGGTTGATATGGCCTGAGGTATTCAAAGAAGCACCGCATGCAGGTTATCTACACCCCAAGACCCCAGCAGATGTTGCAGCCAACTGGTCGCTGCTGGAGTGGACGTTGCAGCGTGTGGGTGTTCCTGTTCATTTCTTAGATCGTTCAGGTGTATGTACAGGTGATTTCTCTGCATGCTATCAAGCATTGGTGTTACTTTTTTTTCTCTTCTGTCTAGCAAAAGATCACAAATGTGAATTCGTATTAGCTCATCCAGTACACCCAGATATGACGGCCTTTATGTCTTCTGAGGCTCCTCTAGCTTGTCTAATAGCAGGCGGAGCTGTACATGTAGCTCAAGACCTCAAGGAAAAAATATTAACACCAAGAACACCACCAACTGCAACACACAAACAAAAAACACAGCAGCAGCAAAAAACAACTGCTCCTTTATCTAACAACCCCATAGGATACGCAACAGACGCACACAGAGACAACCTCCCGCTGCCCTCTCAACCTCAACCCCCCAAGCAGCAGCAACACCAGCAACAGCAGCAACAGCAGCAGCTGAAGCTGCTACACAAACAGCAGCAGCA